CGCAAGCCTGTGTTAATTTTTTTTAATGTTTTTAAAGCTGATATTGATAACATGTAATTATTGTAAATTGTATTTGCATCCGGTTGAAGAGACTGCTAGGGGCCGAAAAGAAGTCTGTACAGCGATAATCTTCCATTTACAGTATTGAGATGTCTGTAACAGAATTGGAAATCCATGCATATTCGAATTTAAACCGTCGATGGTAATGGCGTAGACTTCCGGTCTATTAAATATTCATTGTCATCGCTGCAAAAATCGAAGCTGGTTGTGCTGAAGATTAGCTTGAAGACATGAATCATCTTCATCATCATACTGATCATGATCGATCTTAGAAAAAAGCAAGGAGGAAGTAATCGAACCTTTGGCCGCTCTTCATCAATAATCGATAATACGTGTTGTCTAACCGTGAAAGAAAATATCGATCTTGTCATCCCACCCAAAGAATCGTGCACTCGAATCTTTGTAAGGGAGGACTACATCCGAGACTCTACGGCCACTTGTTAATTAAAGAAAGTAATCATTCCATGGTTAAATTTAATTACGCAAAGAACAATAGCAACAACAAAACAAACTCGCAAACACGAAAAACAAACAAAGAAACGAAGAAACAAACAAGCAAACAAACATGGAAGCAAAATAAAATTAAAACAAAATACACACATAAAATAAGTAATGTAAATTGCCTGCTGGAACTGATATAACGAAAGCCAAGATGGCAGTTGCGAAGTTAACTTTTCTTTGCTGTCCGAAATTCCACGAAGATCCAATCAACCAAAGTGGCGATTATAAGATCAAGAAATATCGATTTTATTCCAGATCAATCAATCAGTAAAGAATTCAATTCAATATTTCTCGCAAACACTTCCCTTTAGAAAGAAGCCATCTTGATCCAAGCCAAGAAAAAAAGGCGTTATTTACTAATCATAGTTCAGTTTTGGTAAAAGGCCACATGTATGGGTCACCTAGTAAGAATCGAACACACAACTAATAATTTGCAAGGGCAGTGCTAAGTCTTATACTAGAACGAAATTGACCATTTTATTGACTAAGCTTAACTTGGTTTTAGCACAAGGAGGCATTTACGAAAGACCTAGTGAGGTTCAAAATAACTGCTCAGTAGTAATGGTCAAACGGTCTAGTACGCTAACCATAGCCTCTTCCCTTAGCTGAGTTTTGGAGCAACGTCACAGGTATGACACACCCTGTGAAGATTGAACTCACTGCTCAGTAATAATGGTCAACCAGAGCAGCTCGTAACCCATTATGGTACTTCTATTAAAGAGAAATTAATAGGGTAGAACATTTCCGATTAAGAAATTATAGTAGTGAATTCTGGACAATTCCTTCACAAATGAAAAGGTGACTTGAGGCAAAAGAAATGTAGTTCCAAAGAAGGATGCTGAGCATAACATGGACAGCGTATGAGGACAATGAGGAATTTTATAATTTTATTCTTTTCCTATTTGTCGCTGTTGAAAAGAGTCGTCGGCAATCCTAGGCTAAAGAAACCCCCAAAGTCATGGCCAACCGAACTGTTGTAATCTCGAGTCTCCTGTATAACTGTGAGACCTGGGTATGGCTACTGAAGAGACATATGCAAAATTGAAAGATTCTATCAAATGAAAGTTAGTCAAATCCTGCGGAACACTTGGTAGAGCCAGATCACGAACAACAAAATTCTCCTCCGCGCAAAGATGGAAATCATCAGGACTCGGCACCGACTTCGATGGGCCGGACACCTTGCCCGAATGCTAGAGAAAATCCTCTTCTGAGCGAAAGCATCTGGCACGAGACAACGTGGAGCTTCACGTCGTCGATTCAAGGATCAGCTCAAAAACTCATTGCTGAGGACAGAAATCAACCGGGTCATTTGGGAGACGGAAGCTGCAAAAAGAATCAATTGGAGAAGAGCAGTCCTCGAAAAACTGTTGCAGTTTTTTTTGTATATATATATATATATATATATATATATATATATATATATATATAACTAGTGAGCCAGTCAAAATGCCTTGACTCACTTTATAGTCCACCAATAGAAGGTTAACCAATCAGAAGACGTAGAACATTCAATCCGTCGTGTATAAAGGCGGCCATTTTTGTTCACTCTACCTGAATGTCCAGTGCCAGCTTGTTAGGCGAAGAGAACCAGAAGGAAGAACTATGCTCTGCTACTTTTATCGAAATATCCACTGCTAATCTGAACAACGCTTTCCTACTGTCTTCGAAATATTCACTGCTAAACTCTGGATTCTATACTCGAAGACGACCGTCATGATGAATAACAAAAACAACATCATTCGAAGAAAAAAACCCCAGAACAAACAAAGAGAGACCAAAGAAAAGTCAGAGCTCTCGATTTTCTGAACCCTCTTATTCTACCATGCACTGACTGAGGATGTCTTTTCAGATCCAACTCATTTCATGCCGAAGAAAATGTTGATGAGTATCTCATCAACGAGTTCTAAAATCAATGACTTTTCTTATTTATCGATTGGATTCATTTAAACAGAAATTATCATACTACTATTAATAAGTGATACATTTGACGACGATTTGTTGACTCCGACGTCCACTTTAATTCATATATATATATATATATATATATATATATATATATATATATATATATGTGTGTGTGTGTGTGTTTTATGTATAAATGTTTCTATGGATTTCCTGTTCTTTTCATTCTCTTTCATTCCTAGTACCATGCCTGATAAGATGATAAACAACGGCCAACAGTAAGGCTTCTGATCAAGAGGTTTTGAGGAGCGTGGAACCACCTCTTAATTGCTGGTTTTCCCAGGTTCACCAAGATCAGAGGTGGGAGCACCTGTTAGGGTCCCAGCTATAGGCAATAGTTGACTCCCAAACTGAGGTCAAAACAGTATGAAAGTGTAAAAGTAGGTTTTAATACCAGCAATACATTTTTGTAAAAATATTACCAGCTATGAAATTTTGAAGGAAAAATATTACCAGCAATATATTTTTGAAAAAAAATATTACCAGCAATATATTTTTGAAAAAAATATTACCAGCAATATATTTTTGAAAAAAAATATTACCAGCAATATATTTTTGAAAAAAATATTACCAGCAATATATTTTTGAAAAAAATATTACCAGCAATATATTTTTGGGTATGACGATAAACTACATCCGCGTCCTGGGATGATAAGCTACGTCCAACATCAAGGGCTCTGATCAGGAGGTTTTGAGGAGCGTGGAACCACCTCTTAATTGCTGGTGTTCCCAGTTCCACCCTGACCCGGGGTGGTAGCACCTGTTAGGGTTCGAGCTATGGGCAAATAGTTAACCTCCAAACCCAGATCCCGTCCTGGGTATGACGATAAACTACATCCGCCTCCTGGGTAAGACGATAAACTACGTCCAACAGCAAGGCCTCTGATAATACGTTTTTGAAAAAAATAATGTTGCCAGCTGTACGTTTTTGAAAAAACAAATAATATTACCAGCTATACGTTTTTTTTTTTTTTTTTTAAATGGTGTTGCCGGCTATACGTTTTTGAAAAAATAATATTACCAGCAATACATTTTTGGTAAAAAAAAATATTACAGCAAGAATAATTGTCGGCATTAAATAATCCATTTTGGTTGATATGCCGTAAAACAAAGCCAAACCAAAGCCAAACCTTTCCTCGTAACTCCTTGCATCTTAGTGGCATTATTGTCTTGCTTGGGTTGAATTGGTTATAAAAAAAGTTTTAAAGGAAATGGAAACAAAATAAACAATTGTATTTAGAATCAGAAAGAGATAATTGGAAGACACATAATGAGGAAAGAAAGCTTAGCGAATTTGTCACCCGCAGGACAATGCAGGCAAGAAGAGCAGAGGAAAACAGAGATTAACCTACGAGCTTGCGTAAATGGTTGGTAGAATACAGACTGAGAGGGGTAGTAAAGGGACAAACATCACTTAGAGATGATCGGAAGTTGTGGAGAGCCATGACCACCGAAGTCTTAAAGGGATACGGAACATAAAAAAGAAGTTATGATATTTTTCCACTTGCAGAACCATTTAAATATAATCTACAAAAGTTGTATATAAAATTTGAACAAATCGGTGTTGTGAATTTTCAGATTTAATTTCTTTTCATGGTTTCTTATTTGTCAGAGTCAGTTGAAATATGATTTAGAGATTGGAAATTGTAAGTAGAACACTTATCCTCTTGTGTTTGTAGACGAAATGAAAACAAACAAGTTTATTCAGTTGCTTTGGTGCATTTTGGTAGACATTTTATTTTGTTTTTTTTTCTGGCGCGAAATCTAAGAAAAACAAAAACAAAAAAAATTACAAAATCAAACATTGCCATCGTTGTCATAGACACGAGAAATAACGAGGGAATGAAGCTGATCAGAGATTTTTCCATTTTATTTGCAGGGTGGCGATCTCATGCACAAACACAGGCCGACACACTCGCATAATACACACACAAGGGTAAATCAATAATCCAATGTCATGACTGCTATGTTCGGAGCTGAAATTTTCACTGCATAATACCTAACCTATGTGATTGACAGAGAAGTGTTCTTCAAAGCCGAAGATTATGCTGGGAAACAGGAATCTACTGTGTAAATTACATGCTTTTCTTTATCCCTAGACCGTTGACTTAGTGATGTAGCAAGGAACACGCGCAGACATTCCTCCAGACACAGTATCAATTACACACACACACAAGCGCGCGCGCAGGCACACACGCAGACACACACATGATTGATTAGTTTTCTACGGCTTTGCAGGTCATTTAAAGACAGAAAATATTTTTAGAATGTAAAAATTTGTTTTGGGGGATAATAATGGTTCAGTAATAAAAATCTTACTAATTAACCCATAGCTGGGGGAGAGGAGGTAGATTCATACCTTTCCCAAGAGTATTTTGCGCATAAGTGACTGTAACGAAGCCGACGAGAATTGGGACACAGCTCTCCCGATTAACAATTCCGAACTATTATCCGGTACATCACCCGCATATCCAAATTTACAGCACCTGCTATTCCTAAGCGGTTTACCCATCTAGGTACTGACCAGGCTCGACGTTGCTTAACTTCGGTTATCGTATGGGAACCGATGTTTCAACGTAATGTGGCCGTAAGCACCCCCCCCACACACATTGGTACATATTTTAATTTTTATGAGAAAAATTTCCCGTTATATAAGAAAATACATAATGTTTGAACAACATCTATTTGCACAAATAATGTAAAAAATAAATAAATACAACCTAGTGTTTATATATTTTCAGTGGACATTTCATATCGTCATCAGAAGTAATTACTTCTTCGTCAGCCATTGTAAGTCCATCGGTGGACAAAGAAATTCCGAACTCCTTCCATGACTACAGTGACTCTTCCGCATGTTACCACTAAACGCGACTGTTTCATTTCTTCGTATTCTGTCTAGACTTTTCCTACTATGTTTGCTATTCATTGCTTTATTAACTGACCTTTTGCTTCATCTGTTATCTACTTTTTTGCTATATATCTCCATTTTTGACGTTTAATCCCTGATTTTATAACTGTTTTTTTTTTTTTTTTTTTTTTTTTTATCAATGTCGTTCTCTCATAGTTATTCCGAGCACAAACCGTTTCATTGATTTGTTTTCGAGATATTTTCTATGTTTCACATCACCGCGCCATTGCTGACATCATAGAAATTTATATTTTAAACATACTGTCGAGTTTTCATTACAGCTTCATTAAATTATTTTAAATTGTTATACGTAGTTTTATTTTATTTTCATGATCTTTATAACTCTGCCTAAGTCGATATTTCCAAGAATTTTTACTCTTATTGTCCTTTGTTCTGATGAACTTCTTTGGAACGTCGCAGTTGAAGTTTCTTTACAGCCTAACTTGAGAGTTTACTTATTTAGGTAATTTAGTGTAATTAGTATGGTACATGGTTACATTAGTGTATACATCACGTGTGACTTAATATTACAGACTAAATTAAGACTAGTAGATATATTTATAAAAAATGATTTAGAAAAACGAAGACATTTTAAAATATGTTCAGACATAAAAGCAATTATATCCACGAGTGAAGTATTTGAAAATATTAATTCGACGAATGAACAACTGAGAATTGTTCGTATTGGGGAGACAATTTAATCAGCACGAAGCGTCTTTAGACAGTATCAGGTGCAAGCTAAAAATAAGGAACGGAAAATGGTGATGTAGAATATCTGAACATTTGCATTAAATCTATTGTATATATTTGTATAAAATAATATCAATGCAATACAGTTTTTATTACTGAGAATTGAACCGTGTGAAAATATACATGTAAAGTATATCAGTTAAGGAAGGATAGGAGAAAAGATGAAAATATTTCAAATTTCGAAGCGATGTAATGAAAGCTTTTTTTCGAAAACTGTTCTCTTCAGTCTGCGGCAAATCGACGAAAGCAGTTTAACACATCTCTCGTCTGTGTGTAGCATATTCTTATTGAACTACGTTTAATACGCTATACCGTTATCTATATGTGCTTCATCGAGGAAGGGTAGTAAGAATATATCTCATTGAACTGTTGGGGAGCTCCAACGGATTCCTGAAACCATATATATATATATATATATATATATATATATATATATATATATATATATATATATATATATATATATATATATATATATATTTTGTGTATTTAGGCAAATCCTTCTTTTCATGTACATTTCATTGAATACGACAGACAAGGTGCTTTAATTTAGATTTTATACAATATTTCATGCAATCTAATAATTTTTTTCTTTTCAGATGATAAATTATATAAAAAACTAATATTAATATTATATATATATATATATATATATATATATATATATATATATATATATATTATGCTCGGTGGAGTGAATTAACTGTAAATTGCCGACACAATTTATCTTTTACATCAAAATATAGTTAATTTATTTTAAAATTACGTATTACCATTTCTTATAGTCATAATTTATTAGTAAATAATGGCCCACCCTCTATGAGCAATTGTATAATTTTGTTTATTCAGCTTTAATACTGCTATGTATTGCTGTTTGGTTAGCATTACTAATATCTTATATAGATGTTCCGCATTTTTAATTTTATCTACAGACCTCTTTAAGAAGCTTCCTGAATCTAAAAAAATAATTCTGTTGAAATTAACTTTGTGTCTGATTACCCTCCTACTCCTTCTCCTCAACTTCCTTTCAAAAATTGAACATGTCGTCATATTTGTCTATAATCACGGTACATTTGTTGCTTATATATTTTCTGCATGCGTCCTTGATGGCCTGTCTATGTTCCGGTTTATCATGTTATGAAAAAAATAATTCCCCCCACCTTCACCCTAAGAGCTTACTTTTCTATTTAGCCCAGACATAACATTTAATTGGTTAATCAAAACACACCCACAGTCTAATTTTAATACTGACCTTATATTCCCCACTTTATCTTTCGGAAAAGAGGTAACATTTTGTTTTTGAAATTTTCTTAAAAATCATTTAATCACCAGTTACTTACCATCACCTGAAGAAGTACAAACAAATTATTGAAACATGAAAACTTTTGCGTAGCGATTTCAACAGGTTTTTATTATAATCTCTTATAATAAAATTTTTTTCTCTACATGGAAATATTTGATATTCGTTGACGAAGCATTGATCGAGCTACCACATCTGGTTTGGTGTTTCTGTTACATGTCTCCAGATTCTTGAAAAAAAAAATCCAAATAAGGATCGACAATGTTATTGGTACTAACCTGACATTTTGGCTCCAGTAACTTTCCCGCCGCCATAACATAGCTTCCTTTAGCCTCTTTTACAACTGTTTTCACTGTAATTGTTCTGATGAGATTTAGTCGTTGGTACCTCGACTTCACAAATTTAAGCGTAGTACTAGATTGGCAGTTAGGTCTCATAATTTTACTGCTGAAATTGTTAGTTTTAACCGTAAGTTCTATGCTAATATTTTCTTCTCCCACATTTCTCGCTTGTACAACTCTCTTCCAGTTCTTGTTTTCATGCCAACTACGATCTTCAAAAATTTAAATGCGATGTCAATCGTCATCTGTTTTTTTGAATCCTGTTTTTTATTGTCCTCTTCGTTTCTTTCATTTCCAGAAACCCCTAGTAGCTTTTATGAAATAAAAATTACGTTTGTATTCAGTTCCATGTGTCTGTGGTCATGAAAGAAACAAATAATGCAGACCCCTTAATATTTGCAACAGTGTATACACAATGTTTATTCAAGGAATACCTATTTCTCATATGTTAGGTTAAAAATTTTGATTAATAAAAAATTCTTTATTTACATTCGTCCTCATCTTTGTTGTTGTTATCACAAACTGATGGCAAAGTGGCAGCTGCACTCATCAACAGGCAGATTAGATTTAAGGCTACAAGTTCTCCACAGAGAATTGTCCTACAGGACTAGTGGATTAAAACGTTGGTTCGTGAATCGGGTGACAAATACATTGTAAAAAGAACTTGGAAAGATTATGTAATTTCCGTTTGTACGAGCCCAGCTGCGAAGCGAAAGAAATCTCTGCGAATGAAAAGAGTCCATTACTCGTTTACTGTTGCGACAAGTGCAAAATATGGCGGCTTATGTGCATTCAGGCTCGGAACAAAGAGAATGTAGAAATATTAGTAAATATCAATTCAATCCCTGTGCAGTTTCCATCCTGGGTAAGACGATAAACTACGTCCAACAGCAAGGCCTCTGATCAGGAGGATTTGAGGAGCGTGTAACTACCTCTTAATTGCTAGTGTTCCCAGGTTCACCTGTTAGGGTCCCAGCCCTGGGTAAAGATTTAGCCCCCAAACTGGAGTGAAAACACTATGAAAGTGTAAAAATAGGTTTTAATACCAGAAATGCTTTGTAAAAAAATTATTAACAGCAATGCATTTAAAAAAAAATATTACTAGTAATACATTTTTGAAAAAAGAAAAAAAAATATTACCAGCAATAAAAATCTTAAATAACCCATTGAGTTTGATATACCGTAAAACAAAACAAACAAACGAAACCAAACCTGGGCAGTTTGTACTTGGACTCAGTGGAGACAGGGCGAGCAATTATTGAGCAGTACTCAAATAAGAACTAGACGAGATCCACTTAGTCATTGGAAGTGGAACGAGAAGAGTCTACCTCCGTAGATTAAATAAAGGCTTCAGTTCGGAATATCCTGTTGGATCGATATTTACCCGAAGAAGACCGAAGAGGACAATAGGCCGTAAATGTGTAAATAATGAGAACTACATATCCCAGAAATTTCAGAAAGAAAATTTTCTTTGCATCGTTGAAGTCGCTATATGAGACTTTCCAAAGGATACCTTTAATAAACAAATTAAACGATTTTTTGGGGAAGAATTTGGATATTGAACATTTTCTTAGAGTTCTGCAGTTTATTCGACTAACCATCACACTATCACTTGCTTCACTCAAATTCCGGCGCTTTATCCCTTTTTCTTCTTAAGCACATGCCCTTTATCAGACGTGAATATGAAAATGCGCCCAATTTGAAAGAAAATAAATGGGAATAAAGAGGATTATGAAAAGATGAGGGAAGGGAAAATAATAATGATGACAAGGACAATGAAAGTAACGACAGGGATAGTGAAAATGAACAGTTGAAATCAGAGATAATAAAGTGGACAAAGAGCTTGGAAAGATTATGTAATTTCCGTTTATAAGAGCCCAGCCGCGAAGCGAGAGAAATATCCGCAAATGAAAAGAGTCCATCACTTTTTTACTGTTACGACAAGAGCAAAATATGGCGGCTTATGTGCATGCAAGCTCAGAATAAAGAGAATGTAGAAATATCGGTAACTACTTTATCATTCAAGGTATGCAATATACAGTTTATTCTATACGAAATTGGAGTCTATTTTAGAATTACATACTGTTAATCACTAGAATTGAAGAAGTGTCTTGATGCAACGAACATATTCACATTGAGTCCAGATTTATCAGGTTCAGTAACGCTAATTAATAATCAATGTACGTTTTTTTAATAATTTTTCTAAATTAACTCCAAACCGGGTTAGGACAAACCTGGTCATGAATATAAAATGCAAACTTAGAATAGATTTTCTGTGAAGAAGCTTAAAGGAATAACAATTAAGGTTAATAGAATCATTATTTTATATATTATATATACTATATACTAGCTGCGGTGCCTGGCGTTGCCCGGGTGTATATGGCTGCAGTTGTATGACTGCACCCTACTGTATACCCGCACACCTGTTTAGAAATGTCTGCCTGCGTCCCCTCTTGCATGCATTATCCGTTGGTATACTAAGATACTCCCACTCATCTTTTTTACGGTATGTCCTTCGCGAGTGTTTCATTGTTCTTAATAAATGAATTCCATCGATAAAATCTACTGGTGTTGTCGTTGCTCGGGGTTAAAATTGTTTCATTGTTTTAGATATTCAGTAAATTTCTCATAGTATGGCATTGTTCACAAATCTAATAAGCAAACAAAAACAGGGATGAATCGTCAGAACTTGATTCAACTGCAAGTGAAAACGCATAAAAGCCCCCTCGTTATTCTTACGTTTACTATAAAGTTGGGGTTCATAAGAGGTTCTTCGGTAAGTTTCCCCTTTTAACGCTTCAATAATCCTTCTCAAACAATCTTTGCCTCAAAGGTTGTTCGAATGGCAATTTAGGATGGAATCATATGAAGAAACTATTGGCTAAATGGCAAAAGCCGATTTTGGGACCTAGTTTGTCGCAGATTTCATCCACTTAACTGAAATAATCTAAGGCAAACATTCACGCAAGAGAAATTGTGTTTCATATGAAATTTACATGGCAAATCTGGAAAGAATCGGATGAAAAGTCAGGGAGTGATGGCCGAAAAACGGGTTTTTGGGGACAGTTTTTCGTGGTTTTTGGTTATATGCGGGGAAGAGAGCAGGACTAAAACTACACTACCTTATTTCTTGCATGATGGTAATTTTTTTTGCGACATGTTTGAAGAAAATCGGATAAAAATTGGGGAAGTTATTCATTTTTTTTAATTTTGAGTAGTCCGAGAAAACCCGAATTTTTCACAGTTTTTTGCAATTTTTGTGAAACCAATATCGCAGTAAAACTATCAAGCGCTCAACATAAACCTCGTTAACATGAGCTGATGTTTTACATTAAGTGCAATGAATATCACCACAACCAGTAAAAGTTTTGTTCGCGTGTAACTTTGCTTTGGTTTTTGCAAAAAGTCTTAACCACCTTCAGTTTTCTCGATTTTTCTGCCAAAACCGGGGTGGGGGGTGTATTTGAAGATTGAAAAATTGGCATTGGCCTACATTGGTAAATTAGCAACATGTGTGTACAATTTCATCGAAATCCGTCGAGAAATGTGGACGTGCATAAATAGCATGCATACACACTGACAGACACGCTCACAGACAGACAGACAGACAAAAATCGAGTAATGATCAATATAATGCATGTAGGGATGTAATTACGTTTTAAATATCTTCCCGAAAAGAATGTTTTTACATTTTACAGTTTTAAATTGTTTTAATATTTGTGAAATTACAGTAAAAAGGAGAAAAATGTTTCGGCCATATTTTAGCTCTATTCGAAGTTGGTGTTGTCAGAGACAAAAAGTAGACAAAATATGTCAAAATATCTGTTAATTCGGCTGATTTTTGGGCTGTAGCGTCTTAAGATCCACTTGCTATGGATAATTTTTTAAAAAGAGTGTCTAGTAAGAATTGTTAATCACTTATAACATTCATTTCAAGAATATTCAAATGACTTTCCTAACAAAAAGAAGCAGAAAAGGCAGCTCTCCAGAACGGATCCTCTAAAACTAAATCATTAACTGTTTTACAGATATAGATATTTCTGTAATAATCCATTATGTCTAGACCTAGAATCCTCAACACACACAGACATGCAGAAAAGCAACGGACGACAATTTTGTACTTTTTGGCACTCATCAGTAGTGTGCATCCTCTACCGAATCTGAAAATTGAACCCGGCCCGTGACGATGCGACGCAAGCATCATACCATTCGGGCCACGGGGGCGAAGGGGGAACAAAGTTAAACAAAAGGAATATAGCGCAGCTCATCCTAATTCCGGTGGTGATACTCATCCAATTATACATAAACTACAGGACCAACCCAATGAGCAACGACTTCATTCACTGAGCCACTCAATCCAGAGCATTAGAAACTGGATCTAGTATCAATTTATATAACTTATTAGTAATTATAAGATTTGTATTATTTTCATAATAATTCATCATGTCTGTCTCTAGAATCCTCAACACAAAAACACCCAAAAAAGCACTTGATTTTTTCGGACTCATTAGCGGTGGGCATCCTCTACTTCTATATTTATATTTACGCAGTCTGATACTGAGCACTTTTATCTAGAAATATAGCATTAATTAAATTAAATCTATCTATCTATCTATATATATATATATATATATATATATATATATATATATATATATATATATATATTTATATATATATATATATATATATATATTAATGTGACTAAAGTTTTACGTAAAGATGAGATGTGTGTGTGTGTGTGTGTGTGTGTGTGGGCGTGGGTTTTCCCCGTGCATTGAAACGTGTGTGTGCGTGTTTTTTGTTGAATTGAAAACTCCTGGGCCTTGATTTTATTATTTGCATCACAGTTGATCAAATTAAAGTTTGGTATAAACAAAACAAACAAACAAGGACCAAAGCAAATATACATACATTATGGACACACACACACACACACACACACACACACACACACACACACACACACACACACACACATATATATATAACGTTCAATGTTCACTTTAAAGCTATAATTTTTTTTCAAAGTGCACACGAACTTTATGGACAGCCTATATATATATATATATATATATATATATATATATATATTAGTTACTATATATATATATATATATATATATATATATATATATATATATAGTTATATATATATATATTACATAGTTATTACTATATATATATATATATATATATATATATATATATATATATATATATATTAAAAACGTAAAAACAACTTATATATATATTTATATATATATTGTGAACGTTGGTTCACTGTATCGTGTTAGATAATTTTTCTCGACACAATCTATCTTCCAAATTTGTAAGTCTACGATTCGTCTATGCATTGAATAATGCTGTCACATTTGACATGGTGCATCTGCTATGTATTTAGAGATTCTTCATAAAATAAAAAGAAGAATCTGCAATGTTATTGGTTCTTACCTGGCATCTTATCTCGACTTCAGCCACTTTCCCACCACCGTAACGTAGCTTCCCTCTGCCTTTTCTATAAATATTTTCATGGTAATTGTTCTGATGAATTTTCCTCTTTGGCACCTAAGATTTATGAATTTAAACGCAGTACTAGATTGGCGGAAAGGTCTCATTATTTTACAGTGGAAATGGCTAGATGTAACTAACAGTTTCTTCTATTGCACTTCTCGCTTGTAAAACTTTCTTCCGGCTTCTTTCTTTTCAGTCAACTTTGATCTTTAAAAGAATAATGCAATATCAGTCATTATCTTACGTCTTTTTAATTCTTGCTTTTTTATTGTTCTCTCTCCTTAAAAATGTTTTCTTTTTCTCATAGTCTCTCACAGTAACCCCAATGCGCCTTAGTGGCTTTATTGCCTTCCTTTGAGTGAAAAAAAGGAAACAAAGAAAAGAATAGTAACCTGCTATGTAATATCAATCCTCTTATATGACAGTGAATGCAGGGAAATTTCATCCCAGACTTTAGACGTGGTTTGACAGAAGAAAGCTGAGAATATCATGGTTCAAGCGTGTGAGCAAAGATGAGGTCTTAGAGAGGGTGCAAACAAGGAGGAGGCTTATACTTAGTATCAGGAAGAGGTAGCTGAAGTTTTTGGGAAGGAGGACCTGGAGAATCTGATACTCACGGGTCGAATAGCAGGAAAGAGAGACAAGGGAAAACAACGCCTGACATAGCTGGCGGGTTTAAGCAAATGGATGACAGAGAGTGGTCTGGGAGAGGAAGCAGAAAAAAGGAACTTGTTGAGAGCTGCAAGGGATAGACGGAAGTGGAGAGCCATGATCGCCTAGGTCTTGAAAGAACATGGCACATAAAAAGAAAAGAAAGAATCAGGAAAGAGGGCTTAGAAAATTTAACACTTACAGGACACAATGAAGGCAAGAGTGTCCGAGGGAAAAATGAGTAAATTACTTTAATTTCGCAAATGGTTGGCAGAACAGGGTCTTGGATATAGAGTAAAAAGACAAACAGTAGAGTTACAAATGATAGGAAGTTTTGGAGAGCCATGATCACTCACAGAAAATAAAGAATAATACAGCAAAATGGAATGATAAGCAATCGAAATAAAAACGTGTCGGGAGATGCGTCTGGCCGGACATGGGTTTTCACTGTTTGCCAAATGGTATTCGCCATATGTGGGGAAATATTACTTTCCTCTCTCTTTTTCATTGCTTGTTATTTTGATTCATATCATGTCACTTAGACGAGTTTATAAAGACAACGATCTCTCGGTTATAAGTTAGATTGGTAAACACGAAAGAAACTGATTGGAGAGTTTGTCTACGTGTGAGCGAAAACGTCTGTCTTTGTCATTAAAACGAGTGAACATCTAAAAGACACTTTGAGTTTAGGTCGGTGTAATGGTCGTGTGTCGGTCATTAGTGTGACGTCTTCCTGTCGAACAAGAAATCCCCAACTGACATGTTTTCAGAACAGAAGAGGAGACTCATCAAAACGCCTTTCTCTTGCAGATAATGGTGAACGATAGACTGTTCGACAAGCGAAAGAATTTCGATTTGATTGGTTCTAGCGACCAATTTCCAATGACCAGACGTGCAAGATAAACTATGATTCGTTTACTCTTCATGGCAATTCAATGAAAGTGAAAATGTAAATTTTCAAGTTCGTTTGAACTGGTGGCACTACGTTCTAGCTAATTCTTGCAGTCAAAAACTATTGTTCTGGATGTAGTGGGTAAGTTCATTATTTTATGTGCCGCGTCACTTCAGGACGTGGGATATCATAGCTCTCCACGACTTCCTATTCCATGTAGCCCTTAGCAACATTTGGCTCTTTGCCATCGTTCTTTGTCCTCACTCTGTCATTCATTCACCCTCTCATTCTGCACAATCACCACTTTCCAAATTTGACAGAGTTTAAAAGCGTTTACACGGCCATGTAGGTGATGAATTAGTTTCCTACGACCCCCCCCGCAAAGGCAAAACGTCTTGTTATATCTATGGAAACTGTTCTGACGAGCTATATTCCTTAGTTTTTTTTTGTACAAGGCCCAAAGTGGAAGATAACAGTAACCTTTAGACATGAACAGCTTAAGAGTCTAATGATCGGGGAAGTAACCACTTGGGAGTCGATTTCACAAGTAAGTGGTTCGTGGGAAGAAGCTGCTTGAGTGGAACTTACATCTCACCAGGGGAATACGCAGAGAATGAGAGTGGTTCGCTAGAATGGGTCTGTCACAAGTGCAGATTTTAGAGCTGATCGGCTATGGTATATAGACTTGGTCCAATCATCGTCATTCTTTTTCTATTCCATTGGTAATATAGAAGTTAAATTCGAACAGCTTCATCCCAAGAGCCACTGTTTTGTGAAAAAGACTCCCACGATAATGCTTCCTCGATCACTATGATATTAACGTCTTCGCCTAGGGTTACCCTTTAACTAACCCTCATAAACTTCACTTTTTTAAGATACTCTTCTTAGGTCCACAAATCAATCTCATTCATTAAGTCTCTACCTTGAGTGGCTCCTGGATTTTGTATTAGATGAACAATAGTGTAAAATAATTACTGTATTTTCCGGTTTACGAGACGCACTTTTTAAAAAAAAAAAAAACAAACCTGAAAAATACGGGTGCGTCTTCCAAGACGAATGTATGGCAACGCCCAGAATCAAATGTTTGGCACCAGTGAACAACATGTGACTATTTCAACCACAAAGCAGGCCACGAAAAAGCCCGTTCTTTTCTCTTTGCTGTATTACTGTAGTGTTTCTTAACCTCTTCTTTTCTAGTGCCTCATTTCACATATTTGCCTCCAACCCGGTATTAACATTCCATTGGTAAACGGAGCAGAATTAATGCAACAGAATTTTACGTGATTACGTTTTGCTGCATTATACACAGCGCGAATCACCGGAAGTAAGCCATGGTAGGAAGAGCCGAGCGGTGCTCACCGTGTTAAACCAGAGAAACTAACAATCATGAACCTGCAATTTTCTTTTGCTACATACGCAAATGATACTTGCATCTAAAAGTTTAAAATGCATCATAAAATGTAAATATATAAGGAAAAAGACTAATAAATGCATATATAAAATGTGATTTGTTGCAGTCAGATTGCACATGGTTGAGTCATCTTTCAGCCCAGATAAAATGATAGCGTCTTCCTTATCTTTTAAATATTTACTGTTTTCTTGAGAGTTCAAAGCCTACTAAAAAGAGTGTTGCAGTCCACGCTTAGAAACACTGCTTTTAGAGGTTTCCTAAAACTTTTGGTTTCACTCAAGATTTCGTTCTGTTTTTGTTAGATGGCATTAGAAGCATTTAGTTTCAAATTAGTTTGTGTTTCATTACATAGAAACAGATGTCATGCAAGCGTATATTTTAGAAAATATAATAATGCAGCCTATCTTGGTTTATAAATTCTATCACTGGAGATGGAACAAAATTGTATTAAGTTCGTTGTTTTTTAAATATTTTTTGGCAAGATGGGCAATACGACAGAAAGTGAAAGAGCTTGAATCTTGTGTTTTGCATGAATATAATCTTTAGCTTACAATCTCTTAGATGTCAGCTGTATATTTAAAATAAAGAATGTTTAAAATTTCATTCTCTACATACATTTTGACAGCAATTTCGAGTGAACTATATTTTTACAACTTACACTACTGGACGATAACATTATCTCACAAATAAATATACTTTAACATATATTTATTTGCAATAAGCATAACACCTGCAAGTTTTAAAATAAAATTTCACACCAGTAAATAAATAATTGTAAATATATATATTAAAAAAAATGCTGAAATTCACATATTTTTAGCATATAAATATATAAGGAAAAATTCTTATTACGATAAACGTTATATTTAGTGGCTACATGTTTTTTTTAAATAATGTAGTTGGCGTCTACCGGTTTGGGCGTTCGAGAGTCTTTAAAAATTGTACTGTTTGAAAAACAGGGTGGTCTACTCAAATATTATGCTAGTATACATAGATTTACACGGTATAAAAAACTGGGGTGTTTATTCAAACATGTTTATCGAAGGTGATAACGCTTCTAGTAATACGAAACATTGTTGAATTATAAATAAAATTAATTTCTTGGGAATTACTAAAACATTTACCAACATCCTTTATATAATAGTTTTTTTTTTGTTAAAGAATGGTCTTACATAATAAGATCTGTCACAATTCAATAGTATTAAGCATTTGAAATATCTATCTACATATTATATATAAGTTTGTATTCGGCATAATTTTCACTAGCAGAGAACACGTAAAAATAGGGATTACGTTGGTTTAAATCTTTTCTACTTCCTTGACCAACGGATATTTTAGGCTTTCAAGCGTACATTTTGGGAACATTTCCAAAGTGTTAAGTGCTATATCTAGTCTGAACTTAAAGAGTCTTAGGATTTCAGAACTGTGGTAACTTTATCTTGAACCCAAGTATTTAGGATCGTTTTAAATGAATCAAAACTCTGCCATATTTAATGATTTAGTTTAAGATGATCCGTTCTCGAGAGTTGCCTTTTCTGGATCTTTTTGTTAGGAAAGTCATTTGAATATTCTTGAAATGAATGTTATAAGTGATTAACAATTCTTACTAGACACTCTTTAAAAAATGATCCATAGCAAGTGGATCTTAAGACGCTACAGCCCCAAAATCAGCCGAATTGACAGATATTTTGACATATTTTGTCTACTTTTTGTCTCTGACAACACCAACTTCAAATAGAGCTAAAATATGGCCGAGACATTTTTCTCCTTTTTACTGTAATTTCACAAATATTAAAACAATTTAAAACTGTAAAATGTAAGAAAATTCTTTTCGGGAAGATATTTAAAACGTAATTACATCCCTACATGCATTATATTGATCATTACTCGATTTTTGTCTACCAAATATCAGTTTTCATCAAATGTTCCCTTGTATTTATCAGACAATTATGTTCTATGCATTTATTCCTATGTTTTTGAATGCCGAAACCATTTTGGGTGCAGAAACCATTTTGGGTGCAGAAACCATTTTGGGGGTGGAAGCCATTTTGGGTGATGGAAACATTTTTGGCGCTGAAACCATTTTTGGTGCTAAAACCATTTTGAGCGCTGAAACTATTTTTGTGTGCTAAAACCATTTTGGGTGCTGAAGCCATTTTGGGTGCTGAAGCCATTTTAGGCACTGAAACCATTTTTGGTGCTGAAACCAGTTTTGGTGCTGAAAATATTTTGGGTGCTGAAACCATTTTTGGTGCTAAAACTATTTTTGGCGCTGAAATCATTTTGGGTGCTGAAACCATTTTTGGTGCTAAAACCATTTTTGTGTTCTAATACCATTTTTGGTGCTGAAGCCATTTTGGGTACTGAAACCATTTTGTGCGCTGAAAGCATTTTTGGGTCTTCTGACCCAGATTTGGTGCTGAAATCATTTTGGTGCCGAAACCATTTTGGGTGTTGAAACCATTTTTGGGTTATGAAAACTTTTCGTGTGCTGAAACCATTTTTAGGTACTGCAAACTATTTTTGGTGCTGAAACCATTTTGGGCAATGAAATCAATTTTTGCACTGAAATTCCCAAAAAATAACTCTAAATGATTTAAATAGAAAATTCAATCGATTTTCAGGAATTTTAACTCTTCAATGCATACTAGAGTTTCTAAACCTACATCCGTATTTTTCAATTAGAAATGTGAAAGTTTTGTTTCCTCTTCTTAAGTACAAATATCATTAACACTATTTAAATTGTTTGGAGTGTTGTCCTCATCTTTGTTGTTATATTCACGACGTTTAGGTCTTCATGTGATTGGAATTTCGAATCGAATCCTTTATTTCGTCCTAGAGGTCAAGTCAGATTAAGACTCATCAAATTGAGACATGTAGGTTTTAGAGAGGACCATCTCTTTTCGAGCCTGGCACTAAATAAAAATAAAACAAATAGTTATACCAAATATCAGAAACCGCATCATTTGAGGTCTTTCAACAGCAGTAATGTAATTCGAAATGAAAAACATGATAAAATGAAGAGCCTAGCATCAATCCTAGAAAGAAAGTTAACTGCTAATATAATTGAGGAACCTATTTTCCTGAAAAATTGTTTTAAGAGAAAGATTTTATAAATTTCAACCGACACTGGCTGTTCGGTCAATGAATGTCGAATTGTTCCTTATAAGAAAACAGTTAATATTAATAACATTAACATTAATATTACTATTACCGTTAATATTACTATTACCATTAATATTACTATTAATGTTACTACTACCGTTAATATTACTATCACCATTAATATTAGTATTAACGCTAATATTACTATTACCATTAATATTACTACTACCGTTAATATTGCTATTAATATTACTACTACCAATAATATTGCCATTACCATTAATATTACTATTACCGTTAATATTACGATTACCATCAGTATTACTATTATCATTAATATTACTATTGATATTACTACTACTGTTAATATTACTATTACCATTAATATTACTATTAACATTAATATTACTGTTACCATCAGTTTTACTATTACCGTTAATATTAAGTTTACCATCAGTATTACTATTACCATTAATATTACTATTACCATTAATATTTTCAGTTTGAAACATTCAGACTTTATTATTTGAATCCTAGGTTTATCTGCCTACCCCATTAAAATATCGACCTTTCCGGCCAATGGGAAATTATTTTCTAGTACAGTTTAATCTGACGCAAAAGCACATTAGTGGAGCATCTCTATGAATCAAGCTCGCACCAAATAACTTCCAATGCACTAAAAAGTACAGAAATTAATGTTCATTCTATTAACGCGTTTTCATTTAGTGCGCTAAAAGTTTTATATACCAAAATTCGATTAGTGCATACATAATAATCGATTAGTGCGGTAAAACATTCTTCAGTTTAACCATAGTAATTGAAATCTGATTATTTTATAGTCACCGATGTACACATTAGCCGCAACAATTATGGGTTTCGTGCATAATAATAATAATAATAATAAAAAAAATAACAACAACAACATCAACAATCCCTGTTTTAGTTGGAGCCCTAGGATTGGTTGGAAGAGATACAAGTAGACAAATTGAAGGGATTCCTGAAAGTCCATGCCTCAAAGGGGTACAACAAATTGTTCTCACAAGTACAGCCCACACTTTACGAAGGACTTTATCTATGTAAATTTTTTTTTTCTTTTTTTTTTGTCAGTGGAAAGTGTCATGATGCCATTTCTCACCTTAGGTCCCTGAGCGGAACTCGGAAAGAAATGTGTAAACGCCAGAAATCAAAGGAAATAATAATAATAATAATAATAATAATAATAAATTGTAAATAATCCCTATAAAACCCCGGAATGGAATACTGAAGGTATGACATACCTCATACCAAAAACAACTGAAACAGACGACCCGAAAAATTATAGACCGATAACATGTCTATCCACAACGTATAAGTTGATCACGTCTGTATTGACGAACCGTACTTATTCCTTTTTCGAAACAAACAGCACTCTCCCGCTGGAACAGAAGGGATGCAGAAGAGGTTCATATGGCTGCAAGGTACAACTTCTGATAAATAAAATGATCCTGGAAAATTGTAGGAGACGACGCAGGAACCTAAGTGCAGCGTGGATTGATTATCGTAAAGCCTTTGATAGTGTTCCACATTCTTGGATCCTTAAGACTTTGAAATGTACAGAGTCTCCCCTGTGGTATTAAATTTCCTTAAGCACAGCATGGAATGTGGAACACAAACTATACCTTAGTCACACCGGGGCACTGCCATATCCAACGGTCTGAGTATCTGACGTGGAATCTTTCAAGGAGATTTTATGTCACCCCTTCTGTTTTGTTTATCCTTAATCCCTCTTACACATGAACCGAACAACAGTAGCTATGGTTACAAAATAAATAAGAAAATATTCAATCACCTACTCTACATGGATGATCTCAAACTCTTTGCCAAAGACGACAATGAGTTGAAAGGCCTCCTCAATATTGTAAAATACTTCAGTGACGACATAGGTATGGACTTCGGATTAGATAAATGTGCAAAAGTAACTTTCAAGAAAGGTAGAATTACAGAAACACACTTAATAGATTTAGATTTTGTCACAAAAATTAGGGAACTGGAGCATGGTGAAGCTTATAAGTACCTAGGAATTAGCGAAGGAGATGGCATACAACATCTCCAAATGAAGGAAAAAATAAGAAAAGAATACTACAGGCGTGTACGTCTGGTACTAAATACTGAGCTAAACTCAAAAAACAGGATATCAGCCATAAACACATTGGCTGTCCCTGTGGTGCAATACAGCTTTAATGTCATTAACTGGACCATAGCTGAAATTAAGCGAATTGATGCCAAAACGAGAAAGGTACTTACTTGCTATCACATGCACCATCCCAAAGCTGATGTCGACCGTCTGTATGAGCCCAGATCCGAAGGAGGCAGAGGATTAGTTCAACTAGAACTGTCCTACAAAACTACAACAATTGGCCTCCAAAGATATTTGGAAACTACAGAAGACTGGATGATGGTATGCGTCAAGGAACATGAAAGTAGTAAGCGTCTCTACTCCGTAATGAAGGAAGCCAACAAATTCGAAATGGAGTTCCAAATGGGCGTAGAGATGCAACTACAACAATATACACCGGCTGAAACTGCAAAATACCTAAAAAGATAGCTAAGACGAATGCAACCGACCAGTTACAGAAGCGATGGCAAGATAAACCGCTTCATGGCCAATACTCTGCCCGTACCAAACAAGCTGACGTAGACAAAACCCGTACCCATCAGTGGCTACGTAGTGCAGGGGTTGAAAGCGGAAACTGAAGGTTTTATCCTTGCTGCGCAGGACCAATGCTTGCTAACTAGGAATTATCAAGCACATATACTAAAATATTGTGTCAGCCCAAAATGCAGATTCTGTGATAAATATCCAGAAACGATTGATCAACTTGTATCAGGGTTGTACGGTGTTGGCACCCACTGAATATAAAACCCGACATGACAGAGTGGGCCAATATCTGCACTGGAAAATCTGCAACTTCTACGGAAGAAAACAGAAAGAAACTGGTATGAACACCACCCAGACCCGGTTACGGAGATAGGACCTGTTACAATTCTATGGGATTACACAATACACACTGACAGAACAATCAAGGCCAACAGGCCAGATATTGTTATTAAAGACCACAAACAAAAACGGTGCCTCCTTATTGATATGGCAGTCCCTGCTGACTGCAATGTATCTTTGAAGATATTCAAAAGTTGTCAAAGTACAAGGACCTTGAAATAGAAATCTCGAAAATGTGGCATATGGGAACATCAACAATCCCTGTTGTAGTTGGAGCCCTAGGACTGGTTGGAAAAGATTGCAGTAGACTAATTGAAGGGATTCCTGGAAGTCCATGCCTCAAGGAGATACAAAAAATTGTTCTGACAAGTACAGCCCACACCTTACGAAGGGCTTTATCTATGTAATTTTTTTTTTTTTTTTTTGTAAGTGGAAGAAGTGTCATGACGCCATTTCTAACCTTAGGTCCCTGGGCGGGACCCGGAAAGAAATGTAAACGCCAGAAATCAAAGAAAATAATAATAATAATAATAATAATAATTGAATTCAAATCCAGTAAACTACTCATCCCCACTATACACCAAATTTTACCCCAATAATAAAAATAATTATGGTAATAAAACTTATTCCCAAATTAATAATTTGACTCACACTCAACAGATACACTGATTTTATTAGCATCTATTGTACAATTAACTAAAAATTTGACATACACACATATACATACTTTCCCATTTTTATCCACTGCCATCTTTAGGAATTAGACACACATACAGATACTCTGAGAATAACCACTCAAATGCAAAATGTCTCTACACACCAACGCCACAAGATATAAACATCTACCTGACCAATGAAAACAGACATCACTCAATTGAAAATCCAGAGACATTCTCTTCCATAAATAATTTTCAATAAATTTCTGATGAAGCTAAAATAAAAACAAGTTAAATTTCTAAACGTTTTCCTATTTGTAGCCATAAAAAAATATTTGTAGAAAAGACAAAGAGAAAGCAAGTCGAGATGACAAGTCAGGATCGATTTTAAGAAATAATTATTTTTCATGCTTTAAACCTAATGTGACTCCAATGACCGGCCACTCCTTTCCGAGCACATACGTCTCCTAGGACAGCTAGCCAACCCCTCTTGCAGACGCCTGCTCAGGGGCATTTGTGTCCGTTCAACGCCCATAGACTCCACTTATGGTTTATACCTTAACTATTCAAAATTCCAATCACCTGAAGAAGGCCGGATCGTACAACGACTGAAACGTTTTGAACATGGCAATGAAGATGTGGATAACAGTCCGAATAATGTAAATAATGCAAGTAATCTTAATACCTCATCTATATAGATATAGACAGATAATTATTACATGTATTACAACCTTGTGTATTTATTTTAGAGTCAAGATGAAATCATCCTAGCAAATATCTGGTATCTCTGACAGCGACAAACGTTTCTTTTTGATGATTGTCGCTACTTTTTGATAGATATCGACCTATATTTTTCTCTAGAGAGAATTTTGTCCACTTTCGCAGTGTGTGAATGTTGCTGACGGGTAATTCTGTCAGTTATCTCATTTGTTTTCGACAGAAATAATTCCTTTCTCATCTTTACACGTGGTTTGTTAAGTCGGCCTTAAGGTAGTGAGATCAATTCAGTTAGCGAATTAAGGAAGAGATGTACATGGTAGGTAGAAAAACCGAAATTCAACGCGCTAATATAGAGATAGAGTGAGTGGAGTAAAAAGAAACGGAACGAAATACAAAACGGAGAAGAAACAAAATAAATAAATAAAAAGTTAAATATATATAAAAATAGAATAAATAGTAAAAAAATAAATAAATTAAACTGTTGAATTCTACGCAATAATTAGATGAAAAAATAAACATCCAAACTTTTAAGGAAAAGAAAATTAGAAATATTACTCCAGCTTTCTCCATTTTGTCTATCTCTATTACCCCTACTTTAATTGTGCTTACCTTTTTTCTTTCTTTTTCTTTTCTTTTCTTTTCTTTCTTTTTCTTTTCTTTTCTTTTCTTTCCTTTTCTTTTCTTTCTGTTTCTTTTCTTTTCTTTTCTTTCTTTTCTTTTCTTTTTTTTTCTTTTCTTTCTTTCTTTCTTTCTTTCTTCACTTCTTCTCTCTTCTAACCTCTGCACTTTTCTCCTTTTTCTAATTTTGTCTTTTCTCGTCTTATTTCTTTTTTTAATTCTCATTACTTTCTTTTTCTTACACTATTTTCTTCTCCCATCCTTCCTCTTTTTCTTTCAACTTGTCTAATCTTTCGAGCCTATCTGTATTACTGACCTCTTCCTATCAAATCATTCTTTTTACTCTTCATTCTCTCTCTCAAAATCTATCGCAAATTCGATCATATTTAAAAAAAAAAATAAAAAAAATAAAAACATCAACAATAGCAGTAATAATAAAATTTCCTAGCAAATAACGAAATTAACAAAATCAAAGTTGACAAAGGAGACAAATTGACAAAGGAGACAAATTGACAAAGGAGACAAATTGACGATGCCTATTAATCTTATCCTATTTTGTTGCTCTTCCTCTTCTCTTTCTTCTGATCGATTAATTCCTCAGGTGCATTTGGTGCATTATTTTGGTGTGTGTGTGTGTGGGGGGGGTAACCTACTGATTAATTTCCCGCCCTTTCCGTAACGGTCTTTATTTCATTGAAATTTTCCAGTTTGTTTAATGTATTTATGTTATGTTAGGTTTGTGCTTGTTTCGTGGTCTTATCGCCAATGTCTTCATCTTATTCGATTTTAGTTTTGCTCCTGTTTTTCCTCCTCCTCTTCCTCTTCGCCCACCTTCTTCTTCTTCTTCTTCTTCTTCTTCTTCTTCTTCTTCTTCTTCTTCATTTGTTGTCCTCTTAGCTTATTTTATTATTGTTGGTATTCTATACCTCTTTCTTTCTTTCTTTCTTTCTTTCTCTTTTTCACGCACGTCTTCCTTTACACTTTTCCATCACAGTTACCCTCACTTTAATTGTGCTTACTTTTCTTTCTTTCCTTCTTTCCTTCTTTCTTTCTTTCTTTCTTTCTTTCTTTCTTTCTTTCTTTCTTTCTTTCTTTCTTTCACGCACGTCTTCCTTTACACTTTTCCATCACAGTTACCCTCACTTTAATTGTGCTTACTTTTCTTTCTTTCCTTCTTTCCTTCTTTCTTTCTTTCTTTCTTTCTTTCTTTCTTTCTTTCTTTCTTTCTTTCACGCACGTCTTCCTTTACACTTTTCCATCACAGTTACCCTCACTTTAATTGTGCTTACTTTTCTTTTTTTCTTTCTTTCTTTCTTTCTTTCTTTCTTTCTTTCTTTCTTTCTTTCTTTCTTTTAACTCTATTATTTTATCTATCTTTGTATTTTTTAAAACTTTTTTCTTGATTCTTCTTTCTCTTCTTGTTCGATTTCCTTAATCAATAAAAACAATCAGAGAGAGAGTGCTCATCAATAAAACTATTTGCTTCTGGCCCGTATTCGCCACATTTTAGTACATATTCAGTAATTATAGGATCGAAGTTGTTCCCATACCCATCTAATATAAACAGTCAGTCTAGGAAGAGAACTAAAAATAAACCTTTCAACTCAATGTAATAACACTCTCCTTATGTTGAATACGAATCACACGGGTTATCCAACGAACCAGATAAACAATTGTCTATGCTAATATTCTTTATTGGATTTGCTAAAGTAATTACGTTCAGGGTTAATAGGCAATGAGTTTTTTTTTTTTGCTGTTGAATTTTTCAAGATGGGAAGATCACGTGATGTGAGAAAGGTAAGGGTGACGATTGAATGATGGGATTCCTTCAGGAAACAAAGAAACACTTTTTTTTTCAATCATAAACCAGCGGTAGAATAACAATAACTCGTAGACTGTACCCTGGCGAAAGTAGTTGCGTGTTTTGAGATTCGTTCAGGAAACAAAGAAGTGTTTTTTTTCAAACCGACAGCAGCAGTAGAATATCAATAACTCGTAGACTGTACCCTCGCGAAAGCAGTTGCGTGTTTTGAGATTCGTTCAGGAAACAAAGAAATGTTTTTTTTCAATCTAACAGCAGCAGAAGAATATCAATAACTCGTAGACTGTACCCTGGCGAAAGCAGTTGCAAGTTTTTAACCGTTTGCAACAGTCGGTGTTTAACCCCATGCAAAACTCAGGATTGCGTATGCAGATTTCCAAGCCAGACGGACTGAATCCACAAACTTGTTGAAACTTAGGCCTTTGAATCCCTATTTTTACCCTGCAAATGTACGGCCCTATACAGCTCAAGTAAATAAGAACAACTTCATTATCTTTCGACCTCACTCACGATCACAAAGCTTAAAACATCGCACCAAGATCCAGTATAGTTGTCTTCATGCCTAATCTTCGTATTCCTGCTGATAGAAGTTAGATTATGTTATCTCTTGACATGTAGTTGAGGTCTATAGAGGATGAGTGATGAGATGAACTCGTTTTTGTGCTCTATGACAGTGCCACGTAAACTGGACCCTTCTTGATCATACCCAGAAAGAGATAGGACATAAGTCACCATATATGATTTCTCAGGCTAGGAAAATAAGTAGTATTCATAGTCAAGGGATTAATGGCAAGTTAATACAGGCCACTGGGAACAAAATTGATTTTTGCTTAGTGTACTTGCAGTTTTAGTAAATAAAAATAACTAAAACACACGGTGAAGGACACAGATATCGATTTTTTCGCTTCTAATAATTCAGGTATCATTTTATTTGGCATTGCTCGCCCAAATTTTTTTTTTTTTTGTAACTCCCCAATCGGCAATATTCATAAATAATTTTGCAAAATTCTTCACCCACAAGATACTGAAGGGGACAATTTTTGATATTTAGGATTAAAATAAGAAATAAAAAGCTGACATCACACGTAAGTTTCAAGATTTTAGTGGCGAGCAACGGAAACGAAAAAAAAAACAAACAAACAAAAAAAAAAACAATTTCTTCCATTGTTACTAAGAATCTGTAAGAGCTACACCCTTTGTGGAAATTAATTTAAACAAAACGAATAATTTCATTATTATTTACTTTTTTCGTATTTTTAGAATGAAAAATGACGCAGTGCATATGTTAGTACTTCGTATGGCCATTCCACGAAGTCACTCCTTGCAGATTGACCACAGATTCTCGATTGGGTTTAAATCAGAAGAGTTTCCGAGCCAGTCGATAGTACTTTGATTTGCTCACTGGTAAGACTTGCCAGTGTGTTCGTGCAGCGTTACAATTTTTTAGGCTTGCTTGGTGTAACGTTCATTGCAGACAATGACCGTAGGACAACTAATCGACAGTCGAGACAGTAGTGTCTGGGCGTGATAAAAATCTGATGTAATCACGGATGGCGCAATATTTTTCAAGGCCAAACAAATTTCACTCCGAAAATAGATTCATATTACTGCACATTACTGTAAATTACCTAATCTTTCACATAGGAATTTTTGCATTCATCCATAGATATCACTATTGTCCATTTTCATTATTTTTTAGCAGTCGTTTTTACCCAGTTTTGTCGTTTCTTGGACGATTTTTGGTTAATGATGACATTCAAATGCAATGTATGAATTTACAATATTTCTGTGTAGTATTCTTCTTTATTTTATTTTATTTTATTTAATCATTCTTCCCCACCCCCCAAAAATTAAGGAAACGCCCTGGGAATGACGATAAATTACATCCGGCACATGGCCTCTGCGGCAGGAGTTTTGAGGAGAGCGAGGAAACACATTTTAATTGCTGTTATCCCTTATCCATCCTGATCCTGGGTGATAGCACCTGTTAGGGTCCCGGCTATATGCAAATAGTTAACACCTAAACTGGGGTCTAAACACTATGTAAGTATTAAAATAGACTTTTATAATAAAAATACCATCAATACGTTTTTAATAAAAAAAATATTACCAGCAATACATTTGAGTCTCGATAAAAAAAACCCTCTTTACCTCAATGAAACATGATCTACAAACTGATTTCTTCCAAAGAATACATATTGTATTCATACGAACGTATCCTAAAAATAATGTCGGCATTAGATAACCCATTGAGGCCGATATTCCGTAAAAAAAAGAAGCTAAACCAAAGAAATAAAAAAAAAAACGCAATAAAGCCACTAAGACGTATTATGTTACTGACATTATTGTGGAGAGAGATCAATAAATAAACAGGATTCCAGGAGACAGAATATAACGATTGGCTTTGAATTTATATTTTTGATGATCGTAGTTGACAAGAACACAAATAGCCGTAAGAGCGATCCACAAGCGAGAAGTGCGTAGGGAGTAAATATTAGAATTGAATTTATTCTTGCATTTGCCAATGTTAACAGTAAAAGGATAAGACCTAGGCACCAATCTAGTACTGCGCTTAAATTATGAATGAAAGTAGGAAAATGGAAAATTCATACACTTCAGTAGTAATGCTGTTTCTATCCATCATTTGACGAGCTTTTTCTTGGATCCTGATAAACTAATTAGCTGTTTTTGTTTCATTTTGAAAGTCAACCAACCGTTTTCATATCTAAAACGCGCCCAGGTAACTTCCGGTTGATTTCAACAGGGCGCCTTGATATCCCAAACCTCTTGACGATTTCACATTGATTTATTCTTTATGAGATTCGACGACCCTCATTCTCTTCTACAAACTCTATCTTCCTGTTCTTCAGCTATGTGTTGTGCCCTTTTAGGACGGGTGAGATCATGGCCCTCCTCAGCTTCTTATCCTTTGTAGCTCTTGGCAGTTTTTGCCTTTGTGTTATGTCTCCCGAAACCCTTTTCTGTACTGCCCATTTAAACCAGAATGTTATGTAGGTTATTTTCTGCTTTCCTCTATCCCGCTTGCCTTCAACATATCCTGTGAGTGTTAAATTTTCCAATCCCTCTTTCTTCATTATATGCCCTAGAAATTTCAGTTGTCTTTATCTGATTCTAAGTATAAATGTCCTTTGTGTTTTCATCTTCTCTAAAACTTCATCGTTGCTCACATCTTCAGTCTATAGTATCCTCAGCATCCTTCTGTAGAACCACATTTCTGTTGCTTCAAGTTTTACAAGACTTATAAGTTTTATTTTGAATACAAGTTTTGGAAGAAAGCTACAGTTGTATTTTAACGATTTTTATTGAACAAATATAATATATAAACAGATACTGAAGGATTGGTACGGACCCGATACACAGCATTAGGCATGGCACGTGGAACTAGGAGCGTACAACGGCCGAAACGTTGTGATTATTGCAACAAAGATGGGGAGAATAGTCTGAATAATGTAAATAATATAGAATTTTATACATGCATTTTAATCTTCCAAGATGTTCAACATGTGCAGTGTATGGTGCCTCATCATTTTTGCACGGCTTATTTCCAGCATCATCATGCATTCAGATCTGTATATCCTGTCGTATTGTAACAATATCTATGTGACAACTTGCATTACATGATTGAATTATAACAGTTAACTACTCCTGAATGTACATTGCCGATAGCTTCTAGATTCTAAGTAATTATTAAACAAATTTTATTTTCTAGCATGGCATCTCAGTTCTTTTGCTCGCCATCTATTGTTTAATTTACAAAATGTCATCGCAGTGCAACAATGTAATCTAGTAAAAAAAAAAAAAAAATTGAAAGACGGCTGTTGTTACAAAAATACTATTTTATATATTGTGACGTCGTCCCCCCTGGTCGCAGCGTCGACTGTGTCGTTCGATCTCGTTCGCGGCGCCAACTGTGACGTGACGTGGTCCAGGGTTCTGATTCTATGGTCACGACACCAGTTGTGGCGTCTTTGCCGCGGCGTCAGCTGTTCGCTCCTCGCTGCTCCAAGTGTGACGTTTCTAACCCTTTGGTTAGATGAATACCAGCCTTGTCGTTCCCAACTCGCTTCCAACGCCTGGTTACTAGGGTAACTGCACTGATCTCGGTCTGCCTACCCACGTTGTGATTAGATCTTAGACAGACGGGATCAAACAGGGATTGGGGCCGTATGCAAGCTGAGTCCAACAGGGGTGATAACACACAAGAAAAGAAAAAACTCACAAAGTCAAAAAATTATTGAAGAAAAAAGGTAACAACTTTTTATATCTAAATGTTCGTTACACAAGATTATTCCTACCTCCCGACCCGTTTTGTGGACTGTGGCACCAAGCTTCTACCATACAACTTTAAGGCTTCGAGTTGCCTGCTCTCTAGAAATTTGCATTTCGGGTTGTGGTTTGGTTTCGACACTGGGCGCTGATCTCTACCTGTCGTTCACGGCTGATTTCTCTCGTCGTCCGTGGCTGTAACTAACTCTCTCCTCAGAGTCTGAACTATTGTTCACTCATCTCTGCC